CTTAACAAATTTTTTAGTAAAATAAATAAAATAAAATAAAAAAAGAAGTTTTTATTTTATTTTTTTATTATTTAGAATTTTTTTAATATAACAAATAAGAATTATATAATTTAATACTAATATATAATAATAGATCTATCTAATTAACTAATTAGAATTCAAGATCAAATATAATATAAAAATCAAAACAATAGTAATTTTTAAAGAAATTGTTAGTAACTTAATTTTTCATTTATAAAATCTTCTTTTGTATTCTAATAAAAAAATTTCTTGTAAAATTTTAGATTATAAATATTTTACTATTACTTTTCTCTAACTCTAATATAACTCTAATCTTAACTCTAAACTAATATATAAAAAGTTTGTTTTAATTTTTATATTATATACTTAGAAACTACTAACTATTAAGAAAGATTATTTAAAGCTTAGCACCTTATAAAATTATTCAAAACATAAGAAATTATAGAACAAATAATAATTCTAATTTTTTTTAAGACTAAATCTATATGTAAAGTAAAATTTTTAAAAATTTTAACTAAGATATTCTAGTATATATCTAATTAAAATTGATTAAAAGTTTTTTTATTTGAATTTTATAAATTTATAGAATTTAAATAAAAAAAATATCAATTTTTATTAGATAGTTATAAAGATATTTTTACTCAAAGTTAGAGAAAAATTAAAATAGAGGTTATACTAAATTTTTTTAAAACTTTGAGTGAAAATATTTTTACAACTACTGACTAAAATTTATAAAAATTTTTTTATTTAATTTTACTAATTTATAAATTCAAATAAAAAAATTTTATTAATTTTAGTTAAGTAGTTATAGAAATATTTTTGTTCAAAGTTTTAAAAAAATTTAGTATAATTTTTACTTTAATATATTTTAATTTTTTTTAATTTTAAATGAAAATATCTTTACAATCACTTAACCAAAATCAATAATTTTTTTTATTTAAATTATAATAATTAATAAAATTTAAATAAAAAAATTTTCATTAATTTTGGTTAAATAATAGTAAAGATATTTTTTGTTTAAATTTAGAAAAAAATTAATATATTTATTATAACAAATATCAAATTTCTTTTAAAATTTAAATAAAAATATCTTAACAAATATTTAGCTAAAACTAATACAATTTTTTTATTAATATTAATCAGATATTTGTTAAAATATCTTTGTTCAAGTTTTTGAAAAAATTTAATAAAACTTCAATTTTAATAGATATTCTAATTTTTTTTTGTTATTAAGGCTACTTTTTTGGCCAATTAGATTTTATTAATTTGTTATTATGAAACTATTATATAAATAGTTTCATAAGGTTTTATAGTTATATGATGAGTATATAACAAGCTACATATATAACTTTAGTCATTATCTAATTTAAGTAGTCTGCTATACAAATGATTGACTATCTGTTAGTTCTACACTATACTGCTATATCTGCAACCTGCCTGTAAGTTACCTATTTAAATACTCTGATTATTAACTCTTTCCTCTATCTCAAACTAATATCACTACTATATCTGACTGCTTATGCCAGTCAACTTATATGTAGATCTATTTATTGTATAGTTTAGGTCTTCTTCGAAATATATATTGTCTAATATATTGTGAGCTACAGAGCTCTAGCTAACCTTAGAAATAATTCCTACTAGAGTAGTTATGTATTCATTTCATAGATTCATCTAGCTTAGACCTTTGTCAATGTTTGTATGAACCTAGTTTCTGCTATAGCCATCTACCAGATATAGTCCTTCAAGTTCTAGCTGGATATTTCACGAAGTAGATCTTCTCAATCTAGTTAGCTGCCAAGCCAAGTTAGTGTTGCTACTAATACAAGGCACTAGGCTATGTTACATAGCAGACTTACTCGTACCTATTGATCTCATACTCTTCGTACTTAGGTTTTTTACTAGATCAGATGTTAACTAGCTTAACTATCAAAATCTATACTACTTTACCAAACTTAGAATTTCTACTATGCAGGTCTTCTGCTCATAGACCCTATCAAGATTTATTCATGCAATATAACTCAAATATTGCGTTATACTTCTAATATCTAATTGATATTAGTACAATATGATTTACAGAGTTGTAACCTCCAGAAACAAGCAGAGTTTACCATAAGTTAGATACAAAAGTCCAAATAATTATTAAATTCGTTAATAGTAGGATTTGAACTCCAGACCTCTTGCATAGTAGTCTGGTAACCTAATTACTATACTAAGATTACTAGACCTTATATTTTAATTTTTTTTTAACTTTATATGAAGATATCTTTATAACTATCTAACCAAAATTAATAAAATTTTTTTATTTAAATTCTATTAATTTTTGTGACTCAAATATAAAAAAAAATTATTAATTTTAATTAGGTAGTTGTAAAGATAATTTTGCTTAAAGTTAAAGAAAAATTAAAATATCTATCAAAGTAAAAACTACATTAAATTTTTTTTAAATTTTGAATAAGGATATTTCTACAACTATCTAATTAAAATCAATAAAATTTTTTTATTTGAATTTTATAAGTTAGTAAAATTTAATTAAAAAATTTTATCAATTTTGTTCAGATAGTTGTAGAGATATTTTTACTCAAAGTTTTAAAAAAATTTAATATAACCTTTATTTTAAATTATTTTGATTTTTTGCTAACTTTAAGTAAAGATATCTTTACAATCACTTAACTAAAATCAATAAATTTTTTTTTATTTGAATTCTATAAATTTATAAAATTCAAATAAAAAATCTTTATTAATTTTGATCAGATGAGTACTAGGATATCTTAGTTAAAATTTTTAAAAATTTTTTACTTTTGCATATAAATTTAGCTTTAAAAAAAATCAGAATCATTATTTGTCTTATAAATTTTTATATTTCAGATAATTTTATGAGATATCAGGCTTTAAACAACCTTCTGTTAAGAGTAGTGATAAATTGCATATATAAAAAACTAAAATTTAACAAATAATATCATAATATTTTTCATCAAACTCTTTCCGACGATCACTCGAACTATATGTGGAGCAAAACTTTTATTTTTAAAAAACAATAACGTAGCCAATATTTTCAAGAAATACACAGTAACCTTAATAGAGGAAACAACGCGAGGTATGCCCAAACTAGTTTGGTGCTAGTTTTTGTGTGGATATAAGCAGTATAAAGCATAAGACTTAGCTTTGGCGAGGAGTAACTATTGAGGTTTTCCGAAGAAATATGTTACTTGTTTTTAAATAATAAAAGAAGAAAAGTTGAAGAAGAGGAAGAAGAAGAAGTACCCACTACAGTACTTGAACTGGGTCAAGTACTCTACTCTCTTTTGCCACTATGGTTTCTGCAACTACTATATTCTCTCTCGATTTTTGGCCTTTTTTTCATATAATTGTGGGGATTTGGCATACTCCCATACAAAGATCGACATTGTTAACCATTTCCAAATTGGGACAGTCTGTTGATACACAACATTGTACAAGAAAACAACAACACGTAGAAATGCTAAACACGTGGGACAACCTATTTGGATCTAATTACGGAATTAGTACAAACAACGAGATACACACTTTCACTGTTGTGTAGTGTAATATTTTTATTAATTTAGAAGAGATTCTTTTTCGTAGATTAGGTTTCTTTTCTTATTTGTTTCCTTTTTCTTTTTTCTCTTTTATATTCAGATTAGTTTTTTTATTTGTAGCAGATTTTTCTAATTTGAATTTGTGTTTTAAATTATAGCCACTTTAGATTTAAACAATTTTTATTTTCTATACTTAGTTAGGCTATATTTTATTTTTTTTCTTAGAGTAATATCTAGGATTAAGAATAGAGTAGCTCTAACTAAGTGATCTTAATATAGGCATATAGTAGCCTTCTGCTGATTAATTAATCGTGACTTTGCTTAGGCAAACCTTTTTTTTAGAAGGAAAATTTTGCTATTGCAATAGATCGTATTTGGGTACCTTATGGTAGTTGAATAAGTTCTGAATTGCAAATAGAGACAAATGCATAGCTAAATTAGTTTAGTTTATAATTTTGTATAATATTATTTACATGTTTTCTCTTAATAAATAATGAGCAAGATCACTTAAGCGTAAAAAAAAAAAAAAAAAAAAATAGTCTTTTTTAGTTGTTGATATTTTATATAGCTTTGAGGTATATAAAATTTAAATTAATTAACAATCTGTTTTAAAAAGATAATTATTTCCTAATACATATAGAATAATTATTAAAATAACCTATAGTGATGATCACTATAGGCATGTGATTATGTAGTAGATATACAGTTAATGCAATCATATATTACAGTATTCAAATACGATAGTTAACTTAACTTCTTTATTTCATAAGAACTTTTTACTTATATTATACTAATTTACTGCAATTACGTCCCTGTTACTTACTCGTTCAATATTGTATTTCTTCTGTCACTATCCTTCTTATTGTTTTAACAACACTTTGTGCTTATCTTACTAATACTAATTACTATAATTACACTTCTGCTTACTGTATTACACTGATTTACTATCATCTCCATTACTTACTTTTTTGGTATTATACTTTTTTCACTACTGCATTTTTTGTTGTATTGACGACCCTTTTGGTATCGTTTTTTTCTATTATAGTATTCTTCATTGCTTTGATGATGTATCGTATTAATAATATTTTTGCATTATAATATTGAATTACTGTAATTAGCATCTCTACAGCATTCTTCATTACTTTGATAACCTTTTGGTACTGTATTTTTTCTATTACAGTATTCTTTGTTGCTTTGACAACATATCATACTATAATACTTTTTACATTACTAACACTGAATTACTATAATCAGCATCTCTGCTTACCTCTTTCTATTTTTTTTTTTTTATTACTGTGTTCTCTTTCTTACTTTGATTTCTTTCATTGTAGTGTATGTTTCTTTATATCTTAACAACAAATTATATTTTTTTCATTACTTGTTTCGTGTTTTAATTGCTACTTTGCTTTAATTTAGTACTTTTTTATGTCTTTTGATTATATCTCTAGTTACGCACCTACAAATGAAGTTATGGAAGGTGAGGATATGATATTATTTTTCTTTATAAATATATTCAAACTGTAAATTGGCTATTGTTTAATAATTTTTTTTTAGATACAAACCTTTCAGAATCTTCAAACAGTTTTTTAATCAAAACTACAACTAATATAAATATGGAATTAGGAGTAAATTTGTCAGAACAGAACCTTGAGCTCTTAGTTAGAGATTCGTATCAGTCATGGGACTTAGCTGAAGCATATCTCAATAATTATGCTAAAACTAAAGGCTTCTCTTTACATTGAAAAAAGGTAGAGACAAATGATAATAGTAAAATTAGACAATATATGTTTGAATATACATATTCTGGAAAAACTATTAGAGATCAAGTTGTTGATCTCTCAAGGCAGCAAAATCGAAGCTCAGGAAAAATATCATGCTCATGGCATATAAATCTCTCAAAACCAAAAGCATCAGCCATTGTAATTATTATAAGTATACTCCTAAATATAGGAAGCTGCCTTCAGAAATCTTAAAAGCAATAGAATTTTATGTCACAAAGGGAGATATGGGATCTAAGCAAATATTACCTCTATTAACTGCAAAATTTCCTGATTATATAATTCATAAATATGATCTTTATAATGCTATTCAAAAGTTTTGATTACCTCTTCGTCAATATTATGGAGAAGCACAACAGTTTATTGAATATTTATTACAACTAAAAAATCAGGACCCTAACTGGATTGTTAATATTCAAATGGACCCATATAATAGTCAGTTGGCAAGATTATTTTGGATATCGCCAACTCAACAACAGTATCTCATTAATTATATTGACATCGTTCAAACTGATAATACATGCAAAACAAATTGGTTTGATATGTATCTCACGCTTCTAGTAGTAGTTGATAATAACACTAAGAGTTAGTTAGTAGCTCAAGTACTGTCTGACGATAAAACTACTGAAGCATATGAATAGTTTTTTGAGTATCTTATGAATATGTCAAATAATATATCATTAATAGTATTGTTTTCTGATGCTGACCTTGCACTAAGTAGTGCTCTTATGTTAAAACTGCCTACTATATATTATTTTTTATGCATTTTTCACATTCAGGAGAATATTCGCAAAAATCTACGAACTAAGCTTGGAAAGCAGTTTGATGAATTTTATAAGAAATTTCTGCATGCAAAAAATAGCACATTTAATAGAAGATGGTCATGTTTATTAAATAAGTATCCTCAAACACAAGATTATTTTAATAGAATATTACAAAGTTGTGTAAAATCGTGGGCTCGATGTTATCAACTAAAAATTTTTACAGCTAGGATTCAAAGCACCCAATGCGTTAAAGTGATGAACTGACTAATTAAAGAAGGTATAAAAAGTACTAACTCCTTACATAATCTTCATGAACATATACAACATATTTTAGATAATGAAGCCAAATGGACACGATACAATAACTATTTGAATTTCCTTCCCACTCATTAAATATTATTAGTCATTAAATCAATATTTCCAAAAGTTTTGGAAATATTAAGATCATATTTAACGCCACATATATTAGCAGTTCAACAGCAGCAAATTAATGGATCTCTCTTATATCATGTACAATTATGGCCAAAAAACAATATCTATGAATTACAGATGTAATGTTGTTTATTTTATATATTTATTTTAATTTACCTTTTAAAGCTTCATTGTTATCATTTATTTAGGAAAACTTTCAATTGGACTTCAATGCTGGTTTTTTTGAAGACCAACTCAACAGACCTCAAATTTCTATAATAGCTTTAATAAAAGATATTGATCCAAATGATATAGTCAAAATTTGGAAGCTTGTGTAATTATCGATGAATTATAAGAACTATATTGTATTGTTAAGTGACAGTGGACATCTATGTATTTGCATAGCTATTATCAATCATGGTATCATATGTGCTTATTTTTTTCAAGTAATGATGAATACTAAAACAGCAAAGTTTCATATTGGATTAATTCTAAAACATTGGTATAAAGATGATCAGCAGAATAAAGAGATAGATGATTTGCAACAGCAGGGCATTGAGATTTTAACAATGTTTTAACAAACGACTATGAATATAATTGTATCTGACCTTCATATAATTGAACAAATTTGAGGTTCTAATATAGACAATGCAGAAAGTTAGCAAATAATTAACAAAAAAGTTAGATACACAAATGGATTTAGCAAAATAAAGAAAGCTCTAAATATTGCTTTGGACCTCAGATGTAATGATAAATTAATTAACATGATTAATTAGTTTATTAACCAAAAAAAGTCTATAATCAAAAATATTAATAGTGAATATATTCCTCTTGATCAACCTGATTAGACTATCTCAATAGATCCTTTAGTTACAAAATACCGTAAGCAGCCTGCAATGAAAAGATTGAAAAACTCTTCTGAGAGTCAAAGTTACAGAGGTTCAACATGCAGCCATCATATGATTAATTCTCAAGATTCTAATTTGCGAATCCTTCTAGCATCTCTCTTAAGTAACAATTCAAATAATAGCTATACTCTAAATAATAACATAGAAAAGCTATGCAATGAAAATAAAAAAAGGTATATATATAATATATGTGGTGAAACAGGACATAATGCATGCAAATATAAATAGCAAAAATAATACAGTATATGTAAGGTAGAATTTATAGCGCACTTGTCATTAGTTTACAATATAAATAGCATGATAAGGTAGAATTCATAGAACTATTGTTTTAACGTAAGCATGTAAATACAAGATAGAATAGGATTCATAGCATACTGCAATTACTATATATTAATTCTGAACTTGATACTAAACTAACCATAGTTCAATTGAAATATTTTGTTTGATGAGCTATCAAAATTATAACTACAATTAGTCATGTTTTTGATAGACAACTAATCATAATAATAAGTTTTATTTTTCAGATTATGGTACATTCTAAATATGAAGCAATATAACATTATTTGGCATTAGATAAGTATTGATAAAAAAATTTTTTTCTTTTTTGTTTTTACAGATATTTGTTTACTTACGATATATTCCTCTTTTTTAGTGCTCTTATTGATATTTGATTCAAATTCTATCTTTAATTTAAAATCGTTATGACTAAGATAGAACTCTAACTTTTATAAGTATTTTTTTTTTCAAAGATTAGAGTTAGGATGAATCTAATATAGTTGTTTTTTCAGATTAGACAGGGCTATTAGGTATAATTTTTTTTTTTACAACTGTGAATTTCCTGTTTATTATTCTTGTATTAATAATAATGCAATCTGCTATTAGTTTTGTATATACATATATATATACATTGTTATGAAAATAGATACAATAAAGGTCTAGCGATCTTAGTGTAGTGGTTAGGTTACCAGACTGCTATGCAAGAGGTCTGGGGTTCAAATCCCACTGTCGACGAATTTG